AACTGCAGAGGGGTTGGGCCACTCGCGAGGGTCATACATTTGTATTCTTGTTCACCCGCCTTGTGACATTCTGGCAGTGTTGATGCTTCGGGGCAAACCGATACTTGACGAGGAGACGTGCGCACGTTGGTTCTGCGCCACATTGCGTGTCATGGCGGCCTGAGTACCGAACTTCTCGTCGGAGAATATGTGAACGGCCACTGCGCTGGCACCGCACCTGACCCCGATTACCGCTGATTGTAACACTCTGATCTGCCGCTCTGCTTCCCTGGCACAGGCCAGCGTCACCGATCGTGGCCTTTCCAACCAGCACTTGATACAGCTGGGCACCCGTGCCAAACCCCAAGCCTCGTCGCGCGATGACCTCCGTCACTGGTCGAGGACCTCGTCCAGACTCTGCGTTTGAGCTGGCATCAAGATTCACCGTGGCGGCACAGCCGTGCCCCAGGATGGTGTTTGCTATGGAGCTCTGCCTCGCTGGAGGGTGCCAGATGCTGGAAGGCTGCGCCGTGGCTGCAGTCGTGGGCAGCTCAGGCTGCAGTCGTGGAAGTGGCCGGCCTGGGGGCACGAGGCAGCTGGGATCCCCGCTCTCGCTTGGATCGTGGTCATCCGACTGTGGGGACCGGACGCTGCTCTTGGCGGAGCGCACAAGGGGGAGGAGTGAGGGGGGAGGGCTTCTTAGAAGGAGGCTGCTTCTTAGAAGGCGCTGGCCTTGCATCTACAGATCAGGCCCGCGCCTTCTAAGAAGCAGGGGTGCTTCTAAGAAGGCCTCCTCCCTCCCCCCACTCCCCTCTGCGCGCGGCTGATGCTCTCCGCATGATGACTGCCCTGCACTCGCGACCCCGAGCGCTCATGCGCAGTGCTCGTGTGACCGTCGGGCGGAATGACACAGACCGCAACATCTCGACTTCTGTTGCTCCCGTCGTACTTTTAAAGACACCGTCCCAGAAACGATTCCGAGCGCCCGGAAAAGTGTCGAAACAGTGTCGGGCGAGTTTCTCCCAGGGCCCGACACGTGAAAACCATCGAGTTTCGGCACTTCCTTGGTACTCGAACTTCTTTCTCGCGATCAAGGCTAAAGAACATCACAAGTCTCGACCCGCGGCGGCCGCCTCGCGGGGTGTGGGGGGGGGGGGGGGCGAGCGCCGCGGGGCGTCGAGGCGGCGGCCGTCGAGACAGCGAGGAGCACGAACGGACAGAGGCTCGCGCCCAGGATTCACTCAGGCAACTAAAGGGGCCCCAGGACAGACAAATAAATACACACAAATAAAAATATTCCCCATATTTTCCAATATTTTCTGGGCTTCTGTCTTCCCCCCCACTTCCCATAGTTTCCCATATTTTCTGAGGAATCGCCGATTAATTGTGTCTGTGTGTTTTTTCCCCTCCTGATTCACTCAGGCAACGACCGTGGGGTTGTGGGTTATTAGATTAGAAGCCGGAGCCGCAAGGTAGCCGCGGAGATCGTCTCGGCGGCGGTCCAAAAGCCTCGGCGCGCCCTGCTTGAGCTTTTAACTTGTTCCGGCAGGCTCTTTACTAAGCGTTTCCCAATACGCGTGCCCAGAAGCTCGCCAGAAGGTCCTTCGGAAGCTCTCTCCAGGTCCTCTCATAGTGCTTCGCCAGGCCTTTTCACGCCCTTCGGGCGCCCTGCTATCCGGGTTCTGGACTACACAAATGAACATCGTTTAACCGATCCCCATCCCCAGCGGCGTGGCCTGGGCCCCACTGGCCGATTTACCCCCCTAGATGGGGATATAGGTCGTTCCCTTCGGGTTTCGAGGGGTGTATCCCCAACTGGGGTGACAAATTGGTGGGGGTCTCGAAGGGGATGGGGATGGGGATGGGGATTGGTTAAACGATATCGAACTTAGGCAACGACCGTGGGATTGGTCAACCCGCCCAAAAAAAGCGCGGCGTCGCTGGACTCGTCCGAGGCAGCCGGTCGTCCGCCGGAAGTCGGAGGGGTCGAGGGGCCAAGCAGCCTGTCTTACAATGCTTGCATGCGCGGGCGCTGCGGGACTGGATCCCACCAGCACCGAATAGAGCCGTGGACTCAACGGCTAAGCATGTAACTAGCCGCATGGATCACGGAGCGAGCCAAAACGTCCAAGCAGGATGGTGCGGTTCTGCTACCGACCAAGAGCGCACCATGACGAGCAGGTCTGCACAGTGGATTTGCAGCGGGCGGGTGAATACGACGGCAAATCTTTGGCCCGACACGATGGCGGATGCTCCCATGCTGGCCCTTGAGCCAGCTCAGTCAAGAGAGGGCGTGCACGGCGCATCAGCGTCCCAGGCCTCCAGTTCTAGCCAGGAGGACGAGGAGGAGGAGGATGGCGAGGAAGATGACGACGAGGACGAGCGGGACGGAGGATGAAAAATCTGGTCACGTACAAAGAGCCCCAGAACGGCCACAATCATCCCACTCTACAGCCGCACGAAAAGCCTTGGCCTTCTCCTGGAACGCCGGCAGGTCCAGCTCGTCCGGAAGCTCCATGGTCTGGCCGCCCCGCGAGCGCGGGCGCACGTGCGTCTACTGCCAGAAGGCCAAGAATTGTGCAAACGCAACAGTCCTGCACTGCTGTGCCTGGGGTGAATCGGGGTGGGGTTCAGACCTCTGGAGACGAAGCGCTGCCAGCGAGCCCCGGGGTCCCGCGCGAGTGCTTTAGCGAGCCGAGACGGGTTGACCGCACTTCTGATTGTATTCAAGGTGATTGAAAAATAACGCATGCCACAGGACAACGCAACGAACCTTCACGAACGCCTCCAGCTGTCATCTTCATCATGGGGGTCTCCTTCCAGGGGTCGGCGGCACTGGCAGGAAGGCCCTCAGAAGAAAGCATGGCACAGGACATTGCAACGAGGTTCAGCTTCGACGTGGGTGATCTGCGACACACTGAGGTATCACATCTGAAACAGAGCCAATGTCAAAATGCGCGCACGCGTTCGGGAGTAAGTCCTCGACGTCGGCGGCGTTCGAAGTACCGAACGTCCAGATGCCCCTGGAACATAATCTGTTTCGATGGATCTACGGACAACGAACTTAATCGCCCGACGCAGCCTTCGAGCTACGGGAGAATCATGAACCCCATGAGCATCTATTAGCGTGCAGATGTAGACATGTAAGCATAGTTTTTCGATGGATCTATGGATCTATGGACAATGAATTCCATCGCCCGACGAAGCCTTCGAATTACGGTGAAACCATGGACCCCATGAGTCGGTTATAGCTCGCATGTGAAGACACACGCACACATATATATATATATAAATACACAGATGTCTAGAACACTTGCCTACACATGTAAACATGTAAAAGACTATCATCACAGTGTAAACACAAACACCTATTATTTACAATTTATGCTACATGCATATATATATATATGTGTATATCTATATCGTATACATACCCTACCTGGTATTTATCATGCATCTAGTTTTACATTTGATATTTACTTATATATCGTATATGACAAATTCATATATCGGAAGTTGGGGGGGGAGATCGCAAGGAAACGGAGACCCCCCACCTAGAAATCGGTCTCGGTCTCGTGTTCGTGTCGTGCGTGCGGGCGAGGCGAAGCTGCGCGTGATCCTCCTGCAGCTAGGCCGAAGCAAGAGCGAAAGTCCTTTTCCCGTCCGCCAGTGGCTGGGAGGTGTCCCAGTTGGGCTGGGCGGTGTCCCGGGTGTCCCAGGTGTCAGTAGGAGCGAAAGTCCGTTTCCCGTGCGCCGGTGGCCGGGAAGTGTCCCAGTTGGGCCGGGCGGTGTCCCGTGTGTCCCGGGTGTCCCGGGCGTCCCGGCGCTAACCTATCTTATCTGATCCGACCCCATCCGATCCACCCAACCCAATCCATCAATTCATATATTTCTGCAACTGCGGCGGGTCAATCCAATCCATCTTCTCTTATCCAATCCATTTCTTCCAATCCAACCCATCTTGTCTTATCCAATCCAACTGACCCTATCACATTCAATCCACCCAACCCATTTCATCAATTCATTTTGTCTGCGCCTGCGGCGGACTTTCTTATCTAACCCAGCTTATCTTATCCAATCCATTAGTGTGCCGATGGTTGTCCTGTGGTTGTCCGACAACAAATCGTTGTTCGGCGCCTGCGGCGGGCTTTCTCATTTTGCTTTTGAGGTCGATAGTGGGATCGGCAGTGAGATTCACCGATAGGTCGGTCGACGGATAGGTAGATAGTGGGATCTCATCGTCATCGCGATCATCATTGTGGTGGAGGGAGACTCTGATAGAGAGGGAGAAAGAGAGAGAGAGAGAGAGGGCGAGAGAGAGAGAGAGAGACACACAGAGAGTGAGAGAGAGAGATAGAGAGAGACAGAGAGAAAGAAAGAGAGAGAGATGAGATCAAGGTGACAGGCTGGAGGTCAGTCAGGGTGGACATTTGATTTCAATCCTCCCCCCAAACCTCCTTATCGCCCGCAGGGCGGCCGTATAGGTACATATATGCACACGTCTGTCGGAGGTGGAGGGGAGAACAGAGTGACCCCCACCGGGAATTCTGTTTCGGCTCTTGCTGCGCTTGCGGGCACAACGCGAACCTGCGCGAGGGCGATGCCGTGCTGGCCAAGGACAGGGCCAAGTCGTGTGAGAAGCTTCCGCCCCACGCTGGCCGTGCGGCGTCACAGCGGTGTCCCGCGGTTGTCCGGCGGTTGTCCCGTCGGTGCCTCACCGTGATTGTCTCACTGTTGGTGCCTCGATGTGGTTGTCCCACGGTTGGTAGATAATGAGACTAAGATACAGATAGCGAAACCGATTCATACATCGATCGTGTGATCGATCGGTCGAAAATAGCAATACCTACAAACATGATGGCCGAACCATGAGAATGCCATGAATAACCAAATCGACAATAACATCGAGCAAGCCGACTAGGAAACATAAGTAATGGTTCCGATAGGTTGTTCGTAAGTGCAGTAGAAATGTTGCCAATGGTATGAATCAGTGGACAGTGATGCTGGTATATCTGTACATGCCGATGGACTCAACAACATGCGATAGGCACATGGAATGATAGTGGGATCGATCGATGCATCGCCATCAAATGTGGAAGACTGTGAGGCTACTCGGTAGATCGTGAAATCGATAGGCAGGGGGTCGAATCGGGTTGCGCAGTAGGTAGCGAGAGCGACAAAAAGGTAAATGTGCATGTTTATATATATATATAGAGAGAGAGAACAAAAAAAAAGTGTCCCACTCTGGAACCACCTGTTCTCGCCATGCTCTCGCAAGACACTACGGCTCTTGTTCGAGGAGGGTGGCAGAGAAACTGGTCGACCGCAAAACCTCACATGGCAAAGCGTGCACTCCGTGGCAAAACGCACTTGCGCATCACAGCGTGCACGCATGGCTGACACTGCAGCTTCCACCACGCAATTTGCACCACCTCGCGCTCATCACACAGCCTACACCACAAGACTCGCACCGTGAAGCTTGCACCACGTAGCATCTACAACGCAGCTGGCACTGCAAACCTGCAATCGCATAGTTCACATCACATAGCTTGCACCACACAGGTTTCACCACGTAGTTGACACCACGCAGCTAACTTACACCAACCACATAGCTGACACCACCTGGCCTGTACCGCCTAGCTTGTATCACATGTGCGACATAGCTTATACTACATCGTCTGCATCCTGGGCTATACGACATAGCTTATTACACATCGCTTGCGAAGCCTAGCTTGCACCACATAGTTTCCGCCACACAAGTTACACCGAATAACTCTCACTACATCGCTTGCACTTCACAGGCTGCACCACAATGCTTACATCACTTGTTAACTCGCTGCTTGGGGCCCACGGTGGTGAACCATAAGCTCCGTCGACCATTGCCCAACATTGGGTTATCGACATTGTATTGGCATTCTGAGCCAGGGGGTGGCATTACGGGCAGACCAAGAGCCCTAGAAGAGACGTCTTCTCATGGGGATTACGTGCGGGTGCTCCGCAATTACAAATGCAAACTCAGTATGTCTGAATCCCGATTTCGCGCTCGAGAGAAAAAGTGGTTCGACAACACTCCCCGAGCCGGTGGTTGGAAGTACGAAAACCCTTACATCCCAGCAGGAGAACTCTTTTCCAAGCGACTATGGTCTCCCGTCTGTAGTTCAAGATCTCGACTCTGGGCTGGTGCTGAAAAAAAGACGGGCAAGTGCAAAGTCGCATGACAATCATCTTGGCAAAGGCCCAACCATATGAAGTGTGAGTGCCGCAAGGCAGGTGGGATCAGGAAGGGGGATCCCCTTCTGGTGTCACGAAACGTGTCTAGGATGGGCCGACATGGGCGGTGAACCGCATGAGGACGCACCCAATTGGGACGAAAACGTTTGAGTGATGCCCCGAATCGGACGTGACGCCCACATGTGGACTGTGCCTCTGGGACCTCTGGTGGAGCTCCCTATGGACCACGGAACGTGTGAGGGGGGTGCCGAAACCGGCTTGTCCCACGTGTGCAAAGTGACTCTGGGGCCTTCGGTGGAGATGCCGATGGGGCCCACGCAATGTGTGAGGGGTGTGCCGAAGCCTGGCGTGACGCCCACATGTTGACGTTACCTCTGGGACCTCTGGTGTTGCTCACCGTGCGGCCACGAAACGTGTTAGGGGTGTGCCGAAACAGGGCGTGACGCCCACATGTGGACGGTGCCTCTGGGGCCTTCAGTACAGCTACCTATGTGGCCGCGCAACGTGCGAGGGGTGTTCCGATTTCGGCGTGACGCCAAAATGTGCACGGTGCCTCTGGGACCTCTGGTGGAGCTCACCATGGGGCCACGAGATGCGTCTGGGGTGAGCCGAAACCTGGGCGACTCCTTCATGTGGACGGTGCCTTTGGGGCCTTTGGTGGAGCTCCGAGTGGGGCCACGAAGCGTACGAGGGGTGTGCTGAAACCGGCGTGACGTGAACGTGTGCACGGTGGATCTGGGGCATTTGGGTGGAGCTCCCCGTGGGGCCACGAGACGTGTGCTGCGGGATGTGCCAAAACAGGGTGTGACGCCACATGTGGACGGTGCCTCTGGGGCATTTGGTGAAGCTCCCTACGGGGCCACGGCGCGTGTGAGGGGTGCGCCGAATCCTGCGTGACGCCCACATGTGCACGGTGCCTCTGGGGCATTTGGTCGAGCTCCCTGTGGGGCCCCCGGAACGTGTGAGAGTCCTTACGAGGCCACGAAATGTGTGAGGGGTGTGCCAAAACCTGCGCGACGCCCACATGTGGACGAGGCCTTCGATGGAGCTCCCTGAAACGTGTGAGGGGTGTGCCGAAACCTGGCGTGACGTCCACATATGGACGGTGCATCTGGGGCCTCAGGTGGAGCGCCCTGGGCCACGAAACGTGCGATGGGTGTGCCAAAATGTGCGTGCGGAGGGCAGAGGCAGGGATGGGGCAGAGCGAGGACAGAGGAGGGAGGAGGAGAAGAGAAGAGAAAAGGAGGGCGCAGGGCGCTGTCGCTTCAAAACAAGGACCCATCACCACGG